TAGTGTGTATTTTACACCATTAGCATATTTAAATTTGAGCACCAAATTTATCCAAAACACTTGATCTGTATTTGGATTTAATAAAATTTACAGTTGAAAAAGTACTTACATATATGCAAATTTGTCCAAACATACTTAAAACATTTCCAATAACTGAACCAAGTGTCAGTTTTTAAGTTTCAATTTAAATTAATAACAATCAAAATAAAAATTAAGTTTCTGCCTGGGCCCGGTGGCTAACGTCTATAATTGCAGCATTTTGGGAGGCCGAGGCAGACAGATCACCTGAGGTCAGGAGTTGAAAACCAGCCAGGTCAATATGGTGAAACTCTGTCTCTACTAAAAGTACAAAAATTAGCTGGGTGTAGTGGTGCAGGCCTGTAGTCTCAGCTACTTGGGAGGCTGAGGTAGGAGAATCACTTGAACCTGGGAGGCGGTGGGTACACTGAGCTGAGATCGCACCACTGCACTCCAGCCTGGGTGACAGAGCAAGACTCCATCTAAAAAAAAAAAAATTCACTTTCTTAGTAACACTGACCACATGTCAAGAGCTAAATAGCTGTATGTGGCTAATAGCTACTGTATTAGACCACAAAGGTGAATTATTTCAGATTGTTTTCTCAGGAAGTCCCAGACTTAAACAGAAGAGTTATTTTATAATATAAAATAATGACATTCTGAGACTGGATTTTATTTTGGGAGTTGTCTCTTACCGACTATGCTTAGTAATGACTTCTGACACTCCTCAGACTTATCTTTTGGCCTGCTAGATTTATGAGATATCCTTTGAATGAAGCTCTCTAGGTTACTTGGCCTAAATAATGTATAGATACTAATAAAATGCTGCAGGACAATTGCTGTTTCTTCATGTATGCACCTGACTTCATCATCTTTGCAGACGAACTATCTGGGTCTCAGGCTATGTTAGTTGTCCAAGGTCCCACGGCTCGTTAATGGCAACATCAGCCTATGAACATGGACTTACAGGTCCATAACGCCACAGAGTCCTTACTTGGCCTTATTTAAGTGCAGGTACATCCCTGATGCCCCACTGTGAACACTTAGAGTCTTCCCTGAAGGAGTATGCTTTTTGGGGCTATGTTTTTTAATTCTCAAAAATATCATCAACTCAAAATACAAGGTGAAATTCAGAAAAAACACATGAGGTAGACTAGGTTGCCTCAAAGAATCCTTCTTGGATAAAACAGGATTGTGGAGATGGGGGTGTTAGGCAAAGAGGCCTTAGTAGTAAAATGTTGTGTGGCTCCGTGCCTTTTCTGTGCTTCTTCACTGCATTTTTAAAGGCAAAATTTAACTTGACAGAAAAGCAACCATTACTGTATAGCCTCCAAAATAGTGGTCCTCTTACTACGGACATTTCTGTGTATAAATTTCTCCTTTGGATTTGCTTCTAAATAAAACCAATAAAGATGATTCATAAGTACTTGGTACTAATGGCTATGGAATACGTAGCTGAATGGTTCTCTGAGATTCAGTATATTCAGTTGTTAGTGTTGAATTCTGTATGCCTTCTCTAAAAAATATGAGCCAATTCTCTGAACTCGTGGCATTAACCATTTCATCGGAATTAACATACTTCATGGGAAAGGTTAATGTTCTAAAGACCAATCAGAACTTCCATTCCAGTTTGGTCTGGTCTCTTGGACCTAGGGCAGGACCTCAGTCCAAACCTATGGCCTCCTATACGTTGTATTTAATAAGTTCCACTCTGGAACATGTGCCTTTGCAAATTTTGGCACTTAAATTGTTGTCAAAAACAGCATCTCATGCTCAGCTGCCCCCAGCGACTGCCACTTCTTTCCAAAAACATTTGAAATCTATCCTCAGTTGCCACTTAAAAATATAGGAACATAGAACATCCAGCAACAATCAGCCAAACCACTTTATGAGAGAATGCTGAAAGTTCGTTACTTTCCCTCTCTTGACTCTTCATTCACCATACTGTGGCGTGATGTAGTGAGATTAGATGTACTAACTCATAATCTTTGTTTAAAAGATGCTTTCCTCCCAAAGTCCTGTAATCCCAGCACTTTGGGAGGCCAAGGTGGGCAGATCACCTGAGGTCAGGAGTTTGAGACCGGCCTGACCAACATGGTGAAATCCCGCCTCTACTAAAAAAAAATGAAAATTAGCTGGGTGTGGTGACATGCGCCTATAATCCTAGCTACTGGTGAGGCTGAGGCAGGAAAACCACTTGAACCTGGGAGGTGGAGGTTGCAGTGAGCCAATATCAAACCACTGTACTCCAGCCTGGGCAACAATGTGAGACTCTGTCTCAAAATAAATAAATAAATAAAATAATAAAAGATGTTTCTTAAATGAAAATAGTTGTTTACTTTTATTCTACCCGTGCCTTTAGTGAACAAGTCACTCAGAAGTGAACTCCCACTGTCAGGTTAATTTTATTAAGTTTTTAGATGTTTTGAATGAAAATACGAAAACCCTGCAGAAGTGTTTATCCTTTACTGTTAACAGGGTGTCATCTTGAACATACCCCCCTTTTTTGGTTCAGTACGCCTATTCAGGAAATGTTCACAGGGTCTGTGAAGGAATTCTGGAAGGTATACCACTAAATGGCACTGCTTGCTTTGTTGTTACTAATTGTATACATGGTTTTTTAGAATTTATGCATTTATCAAGTGATCGTTTTTTTACATCTTGTCTTTTGATTTTCTGCATTCGATTTGCTAGAAGTTTAAAAACTAAACAAAATAAATAAATAAATAAACCTTGCTTGGGTTGTAAATAAGAGTTAGGCTTGCATTAGTCTATGCGTATAAAGTAGGGAGATTTCTGACACCTGTTTGGGGCAGAGAAATGGAACCCCTGAGGCTGTTTAAAGGTAAGAAACACAGGAAGGACAGCAAAAACAAGCCCTAAGATTTTTTGATTAACTTCCTGATTCTTCATTATGTTTTGAGTTATAGATACAAAGTTACTAGCTAGATAGCTCTGTTTTATTATTTATTTATTTATTTTATTATTTACTTCTTTATTTAGAGACAGGGTCTTGTGTTGCCCAGGATGGAGTGCAGTGGCATGATCATAGCTCACTGCAGCCTCCCACCTGGGTTCAAGCAGTCCGCCCACCTCAGTCTCCTGAGTAGCTGGGCCCACAGATGCATACCACCACTCCCAGCTAATGTTTGTGTTTTTTGTAGAGACAGGGTTTTGCCATGTTGCCCAGGCTGGTCTCAAACTCCTAGGCTAATGTGAGTCTCCCACCTCGACCTCCCTAAATGCTGGGATTACAGGAATAAGCCGCCATGGCTGGCCTAAGATGGGAACTATTTTAAACCCTCCTATGCCTTCCTTTGCCTGGGAGGGTGGTTTACTGAACACTCTGATATCATTTATTATTGAATATCCCCAAGGGCCATCAGTAGCTTTCAAACCCGGGTACACTTATAGAACCTTTTGAATCACTTACAGAACCTTCAAAAAAGACAAATTCTAGCCTTGCCAGGGGTTCAGATTCTATAGGTCTTCATGAGGCCACTGAATCTGTACTTTTTATAAAGCTCTCTTCATCTTTGGGCAAACTTTGGACTTTTGTCAGACCCCTCTTTGAAAAATAAATGAGTTCAACTCAAGAAACAGAATCTGTGCAATAATCCTCCAAAACAGTGTAATTAAAAGACTGAGGGCAACAGAAGGATCAAGTGAGGAATTACACATATGGAACTGGGGCATATCTATAAGCTGAGTAATGGAAATCTTATTAGAAATCTTATTAGAAAAGGAACATTTAGAGTACTTCTAATACATTTAAGTTAGTATCTTCCAGAATATTTGTCATTAACAAAATCCCTTCAAATTTTTCTCTCCAAGGTTGGGTTTAAGACTACACCTGGTAATTTATCAGAGAGTGGGTGATCTTTGGAGGTTTAAAGTGAGCCTCTGTGTAGGTTCAGACAGTCTGTACCCAATATGTATCATACACCTGGTTAGTAGAATGCAGCTTCACCAGTAGCTTGCTGTCAGAGTCACCCTGTGCCAAAACAAACCAGTATTTTCCTAGTGGCCCTTCTAGTAACATTTTCAGGTTGCATTTGTTTGCTGGATATGTCTTTGGGTAATGACATGCTTGGCAAATGCTACCTACAACTATAAGCCTATTTAATAGCCAGTACTTCCTGGCACAATGACACATTATCTTTTAAGGGTTCCCTGCCCTTATTATGGTTTCCACAGGGAAGAGGCCAGGCTGCAGGTGATGTTTGCTTATGTTGTGCTCCATTTGGTTCCTCCCTTAACACAGCCTCAGAGGCTCCTTGTCTCTGAAAGTTTTGTTAATACAAGTGAATGAATCACTGAAAAATAGTGAAAATACATAATCCTTTTGGCACTGGCATCTATTGTTAATTGCCATATTTCTGTGAAAATATTTTAACTTTTGTATTCACTGAACTTGTAGGAAGTCTATCATGTATCTCTCATACAAATAAAATATAACCATTTTATTACTGAAATATTTCACTGAATTTATCACAAACTGGTTCTAAAACCTCAATTTAGAGAAATGTTGGGTTTATAAGACGAATGATGAAAAAAATGAGAATCATCATCAGCATATGTATCCTCTCACTTCAGGGTTTTGAATGAAATAGGTAGGGTTACAATATGATCATTTTAAATGGGGACTTTTCCTTTAAGCTGGAAAAAAAATTCTTGAGTTGGTACGCAAAGGTTATTTCTTGCTTCCCATAATAAAACAGAGTGGGTAAACTATACAGTAAAGTAGGTGGATAGAATCCAGTATGCTACATTTATTTTTATTTATTTTTAATTTTTATTTTTTTGAGACAGAGTCTCAGTCTGTCACCCAGGCTGAAGTGCAGTGGCACAATCTCGGCTCACTGCAACCTCCACCTCCTGGTTTCAAGTGATTCTCCTGCCCCAGCCTCCTCAGTAGCTGGGATTACAGGCATGTGCCACCATGCCTAGCTAACTTTCATATTTTTAGTAAAGACGAGGTTTCACCATGTTGGCCACCAAACTCCTGACCTCAGGTGAGCCACTCACCTCGGCCTCCCAAAGTGCTGGAATAACAGGGGTGAGCCACCATGCCTGGCCTAGTAGGCTGCATTTAATGAGAGTAGTTATATGATCTAACCTTTATGCTAATAAGCAGTTATGGTTGGCCAGTAGCCTAAGAACAGTCCTCACAGAAGCAACAAGGCAAACTAAACAGACTCAGGAACTTCCTTGCAAGTTCTAAGCCTGTGAAGGTAGAAGCATTGGGTTCGACTTTCGTTTGCATTTAAAAATATTTGCAGTCATGCTATCAGGCCACATAGAAGCAGAAAGGAAACTTTTATGAATATTAGATGAACTGTTAAAGAAAAAGGAAGCATCAATTTTAAAGTCATTTATTCAAATAATATTTGGGGCTTATGAAACTATCAGTTAAACAAGTCAACAATCCAGTTTATTTATTAAATTTAGATTATATTAATATAGTTTAAAATACATGACACTTCTTTAGAATCATTGGGGAGCCAACAACCTGTAAGTAAACTTCTTCTAATTATGAAGCTTAGCCCTTGAAATAGCAAATCATTTCAGTTTAATAATGTTGAATAAAGTTTTCTTCTAAAAAGTATTTTACTACCTCTATATGTATCTGTGGCATAAAATGCTATCATAATTTAACCACAGCTAGATGAATTCAGATCATCAGTGAATATACTAATTATTAGAGATTTTATAACATATGGATAGCTTCAGGGCTTTTGAAATGTGAAGGGCATTCTCTTTTTATACTAAAATATCTGTAGGCTACTTTCCTTTCTAAGTTTTATGTCTACTTTGTGTTTTTGTTTTCTGATTTTTAGATTAATATCAGCCATCAGCTAACAGCTGTCACTTACACTGTCAGTATGCCTGACCTTAGGATACTTCACCTGTCCATGATTTTTTGCTTTTCATTTAAAATATATTAGATGGAGGGACAAGATTATGTCTAATATAGGAGAACATGGGCTTTAATTGGGGATAGTCAGGTGAGGTGGAGGGCACCAAAGGTGACTGCACTCTGGAAGCCAGCGATGTTTTGGATATGCAGAATATCTGGGTAAAAAAAATTATGTGTACATTATTTGAGGCATCTCTTAAATGTATACAAAGACAAATACTCTAAGGTTCATATTGTTTAGAAGTCCCAATTCATATTAGGGAAAGCACTAGAAAAAAATTAATAAATGTAGTGACACTAGAGTCTGATAAACCCGTATTTGAATGACACTGAGCAACCTTATTTTTGTTCTTTCTCGTTGACTCTAAAATGTAGCTGGTAATGCCTACCTTATAAGGTTACTGTGAGGACTTAGTGAAATAATACGTGGAAAGTGCCTAACTTAGGATCTGAATCAAGGCCAGTCCTCCCTCCTTCAATTGTTAGCTCCCTGTTCCACCTTTTTTTTCCTTCACTTCCCTTGGTATCTATAAAAAGTAGGAAAGAAGAGGATACTTTTTTTTCTTATTCCTACAAGACTGTTTTACGTAATGTTCTTTTAGTTGAATGACAGTCACATCATTGGAGAGGTTAGTCTAATAATAGCACTGGAGACTTAAGGATGACAAAGTGCAAGTTTTCAGTTGGATCTGGACTCCAATTTATTTGTTTGTTTGTTTGTTTATAATCCACACGGATTTAGGTGAACCTGACCACTTCTGACAGAATTAAAAGGAGAAATTGTGAACTTCTACAATTATATTCACAGGTTTGTGTACTACTGTCTCAGAAACTTAGGAAGCAAAAAATATATATTATAGAGAATATAGTATTACACTAATGAGATAGTGTGAAGCAGAATTCCATTTTCTTTTTCTTTAATCATTTTTAAAATTATAGATTTAGGGGTACACATGCAGTTGTGTTACATGGTGATACTGTATAGTAAGGCCTGGGCTTCCAGTGTACCCATCCCCCAAATAGTGTACCTTGTACCCAATAGGTGGTGTTTCATCTCTTACGCTCCTCCCACCTTTTGGAATCTCCAATGTCTATTCCACTCTGCATTGGATTCCTAGTTATATATAGAAAGGAGAGGACTTTACTCTCCTTTTTCTTTACACAGATACCTCCATAGGCACACTACTGTCTTCTAATGGTTTTGACCTCCTTTAGTAAAATGTATATCAAATGCCACACATTCACCTCTGTCAATTCTACAAAGGCATCCTAAACCCTGAATGTGTAGAATGCAGGAGTAGCATGGGGCATCTTTGCTGGTGTTTAGCTCAGCAGAATCACTTCAAGTGTTCATTTTGGCAATTTGGACATTTTCTTTCCTCCTGTGAAATGTTTCAGTTCATCAGTCAATTCTCCTTCCTTGCTGTTTGGTAATTTCAACCTATATTGTTAAAGAAAACTTTCAATTACCCTGAATAAATCAAGAATAGAAAATTACTTGGGTTTCGGTATCTTCACAGCTGAAATAAATTTTCACTGACCCTCATAGAATTCTTCTCTCAGAAATAATGCCTGTAGATCAATTAGTAACACTTATGTTTTTAAGTAACTTTGCATTTTCCTCCTAAACCCCCTCCTTGGCCTAAACCTGTTTTCTTTTGAAGGTAGAACACTTAACATTCTCCATATTGGCTCCATCTTGGTTTTATAAATTAAGTTTTTAACAAGTCAGTTTAGGCTGTGTCTTTTAAAATCACGTAACTATAGATTTGAATCCAATCACTTTGCTTTGCACGTTGTGTCAACAGATGTTCAGTGTTTCATTTTCCTTAAGGGTATTTGGTTTCTCCCTGACTCTTGGCTTCAAATACAGATTCTCTGCTGTTAGCTTTGTCTGTAAGCATATAAGCTGTTGAAAGCTGTTTGTATTCGTGGCCAAGAGCCCCTAGTCCCAAAGCAACAGTTTATCACTCACCCTGTGTTATCTTTGCTCCTGCATTTCTTCAGTCACAAGAACACAACCCCAGCCCATTAGATCCGCGGGGCAGCGTGTGTGTTTGCTATGCATGGACTGTTTACGGCAAACTGTGTGGGTCAGTCTCATGTTCCTGGAGTGCTTTGAGCAGCTTTACTAATCTGTCAGCATAGTATGTTCTTGTGGATAAATATAGACATGCGGGCACTCTGTGAGTTGTAGGTCACTGTTTTACTGTGCAGCTAAAAATTGTACTAGTGGTATGAACAGTCTGCCCTGGACGGAAGGCCTGTTTTAGTTTGTCTTCTACTGTAGGTCTTTAGCACCTGACTAAAAATACACCTGGGGCCAAAAATATAAGGCCCCTGCGTTGTGGCTGAGACACTTATGGTGGCAGTGAGCAACAGGACCATGGAGCCCATCATTATGTGTTTTGGCTTTGGAACGTAGTCGGTGTAATTGTTCCAGACTGTTAGTTTGGGTTTCTTTTCAGGCTCATGGAGATTACAACTGCTTGTTGGAGACGATCCTGTGTGATCAGCTTCATAAAAGGGCTTGGTAGGTATGAAAGGCTGTTAATATGTATGGGGTGGCTAATTGATTGTTAAATGCTGAGTGTGGGAGGATTCTCCTAAAGGTTTCAGTGGATAGGGGTGGAGGTAACAATCGCAGCTACATGCAGGGATTTACTCATAATGTCTTTGTTCAGAGACAGGAGTAATGCATGAGGTCTTAAACATTTGAGATTGTTATATTTTGGAGGTAAGATGTCCTTTTTGTATATGAGCCTGTGGAACAGGCAGCCATAATATAATGGAATTTTTTCTGTGCACTTAACTTTCACTGAAAGATCTGATATGATGCTGCAGTAAAATTGCTGGTCTGTAAAAACAGCTAGTATATATTTGGAAAATAATTAATACTATCATATTTAATATTATAGTGGAAGTAGGATTTATGCTTGATTCCTTCTAAATATTAATGTCAATGCCCTTGTTTTGTTTTAAACATTGCAATAGTCCTAAAAGCAGTTTTTTCTTTATTTTTGGCTTAGCCTTCTCCAACATATAAAAAATAAAATATTTTTTCCTTTTTGTTTATAAATTTAAAAACAGGACACCATATGTTAACCGACATTAAATGGGTCAAAATTGCATGCCACTGCTTTTCCTTTATCAGACAAAGCATAGTTACATTAGTTCTAACATAACGTTTTAAGCAATATTGTATAACAGTTCCAAAAAACTAATGAGAGGTAACATCCATGACACAGAGTTAATTACATGCATTTTGGATATCGACTCTTTATCTTTATTTAGTGAAGGTAGGAGCAGCCAACTTGTAAGTGGTAAAGACCCAACATATTGCTCTAATCAAGGAGAAAGATTTTGTTTACTAAAGATTTGGGAGGTTGAGTTGCTTGCTAATTATTTGACTGCACTATCTCTTATGAAACTATTGGAAGTTTACATATGATATTATTCTGTTTCTAGGAATAAAATTCCTGTTAGTCATTATTTTACCTCTTATTTTGTGGTTTATAGAGTGTGCGTTAGGAAATATTTTTTTTCCTCCCAAGGGATTTTTTTTTAATGTATAACAAGCATACAAGATAAATGATAAAATTTGTATTTTCAGGTATTTGGAAAAAGTTGCATCATTATAGGACTCATATGAAATGCTTAATATTTCTATTGTGTGGTATCCCTTGGAGATGTTACTAACCATTAGTGTATTTTGGCTGAGCAGATCACTCCCAAACTCTTGTGAACATATTGACTCCTTTTTCACTCATTGCCTTTCTTGCTGATAACAAAGTTTATAGTAAAGTTAGTAAATTTTTATGTATTAAACTTTACTATAAAGGCATCAGAAACAACTAATTTGCTTCTGTGAATTGGTAGATTTATCACCGTCTTAGATTAGGAACTTCTGGTAAGCATGTATTAACTGAATTTTATGTCTTTGTACATTTCCATAACTATTTAAGAATTTAATAAAACCTAACATATTTTTTATTAAATGAGCTGCCATCTAAGTGAATAAGCCCATATGAACCAAGAATTTAATACATATTTAGATGCTGATAAAATCAGACACCAACCAGACTGGAAAATATTTTATTTATTCACTTAACTCATTGAATAAATGTTTATTGAGCTTCTGTTGTAAACACTGTACTAGAAGCCCTTTGCTTGCTATAGATCTTGGAACTCATATATATATACAAGTATATATATATATCTTGTATATAGTTACCATATACATTTTATAATGGAAATGTATATCATCATATATACTTTATAATACATATTATATATGCATAGGTATATTATTGTATACATGTGCATGTGTATATAGTTTTTAGCAGAATGCATACTATAAAGTGAATTGTACTTGTGTATAGCTATATAATTTTATAGTATAATGCATAATACATTAACAAAGACATCTGTAAGATTAGACTGCCCTTCCAGTCATCCCCTGTATCATATAGTCCCCAAGGGGACCCTGGAGGGCAACAGCTATAACTTTAATTTGCAACGTTTATTTGTAGTTGCTGGCACTGCCCTTGCAGCAGGCCCCCGCCATGTCCAGTCTGCATAGTTTTCAGTTTCCTTTATGTTGGGTCCCTGCGTAATGCACTCGCCAGTTCAGCTGCAGAAAACATCACCATGGTGTTCTTTTGCCCTTGATGTTTCACTTAAATATGATTCTAATAAAATAGCTCAAGAAGTTGGTTTGCCATTTCTGGCAGGGCTCAGTTTAATGCCCAGATAACAGTCTTGGAATGACTTCTAGCTCCTGAGCCTCCAGAGCCTTTTGACCATGACCCACAGTAAGAAACACACTTTGCATTGTGACCCGGAACTCACACACATACATATCTATAGACACAGACGGAGTTTGCAAACAACAGCTTTGTGAAACAGTGCTTGCCTCCTCATTGTGCAGGATGCCACTAATCTGCTATTTTCTCTTCTCCTGTTTTCTGTTCTATTTCATCAAAATCAGGTTGGTTAGCACCCGCTACATTAGTTTCATGATCGAGTAATGGCCAGAACCTGCACTTTGACAAAGTCTGCTTTAAAAATTCCAGTAGCTAGGCATTCCCAACATACCCTTCATAACGTTCTCAGCAGAAATGACATGTTGTTGTCCTTGACATAATATTCTACTCCTGAGCATATTGGTGCTTTATTTGTCAGAATATTGCTTGGTTGAGTATTTCTAATTCTCCTGGTAGTTCTGATGTGAGTCTTGGGTTGAATGTAAGGTTTCTAAGCTGGAGACAATGCATGACCTCATACATCTTACCACTTGCTTACTCCTTAAAGCAATAAATATTTGTTGAGTACTTGGTGTTAAGCCTAGCACTGTTTTAGAAGGTGATGATACAAGAGGAATAAAGCAAATTCCTTGCCCTTGTTGCAGTTAAGTGTAGTGGGGGAAACAGATAGGAAATGCATATGTAATATGTCATAGTATGTCAAGAGGCAGCCAGAACTCTGAATGACAGTAAAGATGACATAAACTCTTAGCAGAGGGGGGTACCAAGGAGTGGCTGGCCAGAACAGACTCTCATAAACCTAGAAGCAAGTGAGCATATGAGCCATCATGACATTTGCCTCCACCATGCATAAATTCCCACAACCCCTCTGTCCCTGTTCTCTTCCACTTTGAATGTTTCCCTGACTCTATCTATCATCAGTTATTTCTAGTTCTCAGCTTAAGTGTCACTCTCCCAAAGTCCTACCCCAACCCCCACAAGCACAGATAAGTCTCCACTGCACCTCTCCTGCAGCAGCCTTTGTAGGACTTCCCACTTTGCAATTACAGTCCTCTGTGTTTTTATTCTATAATGCCTGTCTCCCTGCACACGATCAGCTGTGTGAGGGCAGGAGCCAGGCGTATTTTGTTCCCCCAGCAGGTAGCCCAATGCCCCGAGTAGAGTGGGCCTCAGTAAATATTCAATATGTGAATAAATGAAGAAATTAGTGAATGAATACTCTCTTCAATTTGTGTGCTCATCCACTGGCTGTTCAACCTTTGGCCGTTCAATCTAGTGGCATAGTGTGACTGAATAGAATAAACTTTTAAAATCTTTCAAACTGTCTTTTTAAATCTATTTCATATTCTCCATAGAACTTTGCAGAATGCCTTAAACTAAGGTCTAAAGAGTGTGAATTTTTTAATTTAATGATTTGATTAACTGATCACACTCATAGTCTTTTGAAGCAAAAATAGTTCTGAAAAAGCCATAATCATATCATATGATAAAGGATGCCTATGTAAATGCACCTCCACTCATCCTTGCTATGTGTTATACATGTAAATACTCCAAGGTCACATACTCAGGCCAACATTCAGTTATGCAGACAGGTGCAGGACTTGAAACCCTAATGAGTTCTTTTGAATACTCAAATGTGTGTGATCGAACCTAAATTACAGATGATGTTCAATTTTTTAATATAGTCATTTATTTTTCAAATTGAGGTCCTAAGATGGCATTCCTTTATTATATTGACATTATAAATAAATATAGGAAACTTTTTATAAATGAGTCTTTTAAATAATGTTTTATTATGAAGTGTTTCAAACAAACCCAAAAGGAGAAAAAATTAGGATAAATATGTAACACATTGCCATCACTCAGATTCTACAGTTATCAAGGTTTAGTCCTGTTTGGTTTATTTGTACCTTTATTCTTTTGTTCTAATTTAAAAAATACTTTTTTTTTTTTTTGAGACAGAGTTTTACTTTGTTGCCCAGGCTGGAGTGCAGTGGCACAATCTCAGCTAACTGCAACTTCCGCCTCTCAGGTTCAAGCAGTTCTCATGCCTCAGCCTCCTGAGTAGCTGGGATTACAGACACCTGCCACCACATCTGACTGATTTTTTGTATTTTAGTAGAGATGGGGTTTCACCATGTTGCCCAGGCTGGTCCTGAACTCCTGAGCTCAGGCAATCTGCCTGTCTCGGCCTCCCAAAGTGCTAGGATTATAGGCATGAGCCACCATGCCCAGCGAAAAAGGTTTTTTTGGTTTTTTTTTTACAGAGAGTCTCTCTTGCCCAGGCTGGAGTGCAGTGGCACAATCATAGCTCACTGCAGCCTTGAATTCCTGGGCTCAAGCAGGAATTCCTCCCGCCTCAGCCTCCAAGTAGCTAAGACTGCAGGTGCGTGCCACCATCCTCAGCTAACTTTTAATTTTTTTTGGTAGAGATAGGGTCTCACTACGTTGCCCAGTTGGTCTCAAACCTTTGGCCTCAAGTGATTGTCCTGTTTAGGCCTCCCAAAGCGCTGGGGTTAGAGGCGTAAGATACCATGCCGAGCCCTGGTTTTTCTTTGTTAAAGTATTATGAATCAAATATAGACATCATGTCATTGAACCCCATATAATCAGTATGCATTCTTAGAATATAGATATTTTCTCATTTATCCACAATACTATTTTTTTGATGTGCTGTTGCAGTCGGCTTGCCAGTATTTTATTGAAGATTTTTGCATCTGTGTTCATCATGGATATTGGCCTGAAGTTTTCTTTTCTTGTTGAGTCT